CCATTTTCCTCTAATGCACTTAAAAAAGCCTGTTTTTGATCAGGATCTGTAACATAAGTAGACAGCTGGGTTACTATGGTTAATAAAAGACATTACTGAGCAGTATTTACAAGGGTATGGTAGCCTGTGTCCAGAAAAATAAGTTCATCATGTTACTAACCTCTCAACAACATTTTTGATTCTGAATGCTTTTTTTTCAATTTGCTTTTAATGTTTCTATAACAACTTAAAAGGTTTTCGACACTTCTTGAAACACCTTTTGTGTTGGCATTAAAAACCTGAGCGATTTTGACCCAGGCATTTTGCTTTTCTGTCTGTTTAATTTGGTCGGTCTTTTTGCACTCAATAATATGGGTGTATGGTTCCATCGCTGCAATGAGCAATATCTGTTCTTCTGTTGTAAAATTAGGCCCCCGGGCCCTAGAAGAAACACTTTTGTTTGCCATGGTAATTATCGCTGAACTCAACTTAAACAATTATTATCAATAAAAATTACCACGAGAAATAGCACGAGAACACTTCACAAAACACAACACAATTTGTGTGACTTCATGACTTGACAGCTCGATTGACTTGAAGTGATAGTTGAAAGCTCGTCGATCTATTTCACGCATTTTTTTTTAAGAAATGCAACCGTTTTGCTCTAAGTCAAGTGTACAGCGCACGAAAACATAAAAAGGAACGCAAGAAACTGCTTTACCGACTCCCTAACTACGATTAGTTAAATTACCATCCAAACGGACGTGAGCAAGACCTTTTTAATTGTATTTAGGCTAAACATATTTAGCAAGATAAACGCATTTAACTAAATTCTGTTTAGACCAAATGTTAAATACAGTTTAAGAGCGACTTAAACGCATTTAGTCTGCTAAATATAATTAGCGTCTTGCACAACAAAAATTTAGGCACTAATCACGTTTAACGAACTGTCAAAGTTAAATACCCAAAGATGGCTATTTAGCGTCGCTAAATACGTTTAGTAGCAATCGCGCGTCATCATTTTGAGGTTATAGAAATTTTCTATTATTTTATAAAAGAATATAAAGAGTTCGGTGGGAAGTTTGTAAGATGGATTTGTGGGAATTGTATTCTGACGACGATGAGGAGCTAATAGAATATATCAACAGACCGAGGGAATTGTTTGAGAGAGCAGACTTATTTGGAATGTATTCGGACGACAAATTCTTCAGAAGGTTTCGTCTAACGAAAGAAACCACTATAATTTTGTTACAGCAAATAGCCCCACATTTAATAACCAGCAACAAGTAAGGATATATTATTAATGAATATTCAATAAATAGATAAGTAGGTAGCTAATTAACTAATTTGTTTGTTTTGCAGGATCAAATCAGTCACTCCTATGAACCAACTTTTATGTACGCTGAGATTTTATGCGACAGGAAGTCAGCTAATAACTTGTGGTGACATGATTGGTGTACACGAAAGCACAGCTTGTAGAATAGTGCATCGTGTTACTCATGCTATTGCATTATTGTATAAGATGTATATAAAATTTCCAAGCACAACAGAAGAGCAAAATAAAACAGCATATGGTTTTTATAGAATTGCAAAGTTCCCTAGAGTAATTGGTGCGTTAGATTGCACTCATGTGAGAATATTATCTCCAGGTGGTGATAACGCTGAAATATATAGAAATAGGAAAGGATATTTTTCAATAAACACCCAATGTGTAGCTGCTGCAAACCTTATGTTTTTAGATGTTGTGGCAAGGTGGCATGGATCAGCACATGATTCCAACATTTGGGATAACTGTGCTTTAAAACGCAATTTTTTGCAGGGCAAATATAATGAAAAATTGTTGTTAGGTGACAGTGGCTATGCCCAAACTAACTTTATGATGACACCTCTGTCAGAAAATAATGTGAATACACGAGGAGAGACACTTTACCAAGAGTCACAAATAAAGACGAGGAATGTGGTTGAACGGGCATTTGGTATATGGAAGAGAAGATTCCCTATATTATCCAGGGGTATAAGTATTCACCTTCACAGAGTACCTGGCATAATCATAGCAACAGCTGTACTGCATAATTTAGCTATATTACGAAAGGAAAACATACCCCCTGAAGATCAAGAGTTTCCTGTTATTATGGAAGGTAGGGATGATGATGTTGCACCGGAACGGTTTGGAAGAGGAAGTGCTAATTTGCAACGAAGACTACTAATAGAGGGATATTTTGCATCATTGTAAAAAAAAATAAAAACAAAAATATTACAGTTCTGATTGTTTCTTTTTTATTTCTAAATCCTTAAGTAAAAGTTCTTTTTTATACATTTCTTCATTAAATTCCTTTTTTTTCATTAAATTATCCAACTCTATTTCATAAATTTTTTGTTTATGCTCTATTTCCATTTTTAGCGACAGTTTTTGTAATTTAACTAGCTCCAACTTCTCTTCTGCCAATATTTTGAAACTCTCATTTGCTGTCTTACTTTTCTTAGTTGAAAGTTCTTCAGCAGTATTATTTTCTGGAATAAATAAAAATATAATATAATATGAGCCAATTGTGAATTCGCAATAAGATATGAAACTGAATGACTTGAAATAATAATTTAGGTACCTTTGTTAAAGAGAGCAGATGCCTTCCTTTTTCTTAAAATGTCTATCCTGCTTAAACTTTCTCTGACTTCTGATTTTGATGACGGTGTGGTATTAATGCCACTTGTAGCAGGGCCATGGTCATTGTCAGTTAAATCTAAAACAAACAATATAATTAAAAAACTGCTATAAATATATATAATTATAAATTATGGTGATAATTAATTACCCTTGTTTATCAGCACAGTTCCTTTTTTTTGTATTATCTCCATCTTATCTCCAGCTCGAGATTGCAATGGTGTGCTTGGAGTAGAACCACCATCATTCTCAGTAATAACTAAAAATAAATATATGAATAATATAGGTATTTAATAAATGTACATTTTGACACATTTTGTTACATGATTGGTTTTAAAAGCACAAAAAGGTATTTTTGTTTACTATTTAGTTACCTACCAGTATTACAATCAACCACAAATGTAGTTATGTTTTCAAGACTTTTCAAGTAGTCTTCTTCGATGGGTGCAATTCGTTTTTCTTCAGGAAGACTCTCTTGAAATTGCTTCATGAGTGTGGAATCTCCATCATAAATACTATAAAGTCCATCCATTTGTGGCTCTATTAACTTCCTCACTGCTTTAAGTGGGTCGTCATCATCTGAAGGAGGAGGGCCTCCACCTAAAAATAACAAGTATAACTTGTTTACAATTGTCTCTTTAAACTCGCAATTGTCTCCAAAATTAATGTCATGAACTTAGGATTTTAATCAATATTGATAGGCAGCTTATAAAACACACATAAATAGAAAAACACAACACTAATATGATATTTTATATGTACCTGTTCCCATCACAACCTTCTTATACTTGGCTTCTTCTTTTTTCAATTTGATTTTCAAACTGTTGAAGCTTTCCTGGCAAACCTCAATAGGCCTATTTATTGTGGAGGCAATTGCTTCCCAGTCTTTGCCATTTTCCTCTAATGCACTTAAAAAAGCCTGTTTTTGATCAGGATCTGTAACATAAGTAGACAGCTGGGTTACTATGGTTAATAAAAGACATTACTGAGCAGTATTTACAAGGGTATGGTAGCCTGTGTCCAGAAAAATAAGTTCATCATGTTACTAACCTCTCAACAACATTTTTGATTCTGAATGCTTTTTTTTCAATTTGCTTTTAATGTTTCTATAACAACTTAAAAGGTTTTCGACACTTCTTGAAACACCTTTTGTGTTGGCATTAAAAACCTGAGCGATTTTGACCCAGGCATTTTGCTTTTCTGTCTGTTTAATTTGGTCGGTCTTTTTGCACTCAATAATATGGGTGTATGGTTCCATCGCTGCAATGAGCAATATCTGTTCTTCTGTTGTAAAATTAGGCCCCCGGGCCCTAGAAGAAACACTTTTGTTTGCCATGGTAATTATCGCTGAACTCAACTTAAACAATTATTATCAATAAAAATTACCACGAGAAATAGCACGAGAACACTTCACAAAACACAACACAATTTGTGTGACTTCATGACTTGACAGCTCGATTGACTTGAAGTGACAGTTGAAAGCTCGTCGATCTATTTCACGCATTTTTTTTTTAAGAAATGCAACCGTTTTGCTCTAAGTCAAGTGTACAGCGCACGAAAACATAAAAAGGAACGCAAGAAACTGCTTTACCGACTCCCTAACTACGATTAGTTAAATTACCATCCAAACGGACGTGAGCAAGACCTTTTTAATTGTATTTAGGCTAAACATATTTAGCAAGATAAACGCATTTAACTAAATTCTGTTTAGACCAAATGTTGCGCAAGCCGCCCTTAGATAATAGTACACTTTTTATCCCACTAAACATCTCCCTAGGGTCCACGCGGGCGAAGCCGCTGGCGAAAGCTAGTGAATAAGTTAGTAATTGGCATTTGTGGTTTATATGATAACACCATACCTCATTATCTTATAATATTTTTGTATGAAACCTGAAAATTTACGATATTCTTTTGATAATAATATCGTAAGATTAATTTGAAGTTAAAAACATCAACCTAAGGTTATTTTGAATGACCTTTTCCAGAAAAGCAGGTAAAAGCAACCTTTTTTTTTCAAATATCATTTAACAAAATAACTTTTGTTATAATGGCAGGTAGGCGTTTAAACTAGGACCTGCATGTGAATGAATGAATAATAATTTTATTTGCATATATCACATGTGCTTTATACAGAGTGTTTTTATATATTATAAAAAAAAAATGTGATGATTTTGAATAAATAAAGAAACTTTCAATCTTGTAGAAAAATTGAGTTGCCTTACCTATATTATTTACATATTGGATTGGAGCAATATATGTGACGTCTAATTTACATTTTTGTCAAAACATAACAGAGTTTTTGTTCTAATCATAAATTTGAAATGCGTCAGAGTAGAATGAAATGCAGTTGAAATTAACTTACCTCATTAAAAACATCAGTGGCATTCTCTACAGAATGTAGATCCAAGGCGTCAATAGTCTCCCCTTCGTCAAGGCCACGTCGAATTTCATCTATAGGAGCGCGCAATGCGCTCAATTCCCTACAAATTTTTACATATCATATATATCATGTTTAAAGACAGCTAACTTTCACACACAATGCAATGACGAGTGTTCTGTGTGGAAAATTGGAGCCTCCAGTGAAGGTTTGGTGTGATAATTATCACAATTATCTTGATAAGTATACTTTGACAATTATAAAAAACTACACACTCTTTTTGTATTTTAAGACTTTTTATTAAGTGGAAATCATCTTTAAACAAGTTTAAAATATTGTTTTTCTGATAGAGAAGATTGTCTAGGATGGACCTACAAAAAGAAAAAAAAAATATGCAACCCTTTCTATAGTTTTAAAAAAATATATTTTTATATCACTTTTCGTCAAATGTGATTTCACAGTTAATTTTTTTTTTTTGTATAATTTTATATGATATAAAACAAAAAAGTTTACTCATTTATGTATTTAAAAACTTGTTGCCAGTAACTATGGATAATTATCAGATATTTATCATGATAATTATCCAAAAATACAATTTCTTAATAACTACGAAACCTGCCTCTAGTTAATATAACATGCTTTTATCTCATACTTTTATGCTTATGATATTTATATTACTGCTTAATTAAATATGAAAAAACATATATTTTATACTTGTTTACATGTGACTCACATCAGAACTTAGATAATTGAACCTTATGCAATAGAGAATGATATTAGTTCCAGAGGTCCATGACAGTAGTTGTCATTTTCATGGGAAATTTTGGTGGCTTATTTTTAGATTTTTTTTTTTATATATTAAATGTATATATAAAATGAAAACATAAAAAAGAAGTTGTCTACACCCCCATTAGCAATTCAGTTCAGTAATAATCACAGCTAAGATTAAAGAATCTTCTCCCCAGTTAACAACATAATTCTTTAGTCCACATCAAATTTAATTGTTATTATATTATCTGTTTAATAAATAGTATATCATCAAAATATTTTAACAATGTTAAGTGACAACAATAACAAATGTGTTAGTATTGTTTTTTAATAAATAACAAGATATAATTTCACTAATGACTAATGCAGAAAATCTTAAAGCATTTAAAAATAATAAATAATGATAAGCTATATTTATTTTTACAAATATACATTCTAATATAATGCTTTGTCAATCTAAATATATATTAATTGGAGTTTTAGTTTTGAAACATTTGTTTGTAGTTCAAGGAAGATTTAAATGATGAGAGATGATATCAAGTACTCCTAGTCAAATTGTAAATTGTATAAAATTAAATTTTTAGATAAAGTAGGTGAAATAGAAATCTTACATAGCAATCACAATCTCCGAGATGATCTCATGGAAGTCCTTTTGATGTTCGCCATTGACTTTAGTGGTGCCTGCGATTGGAACTATCTTCATCACACGCGCACGGCCATCTCTAGCTCTCCACAAAAATACCTCACCGTATACTCCTTCGCCTATCTTGCGACAATTCTTCAGGACCCTGTACAATGGCACAGTGAAATAATTAATATTTATCAGTACAGTCAAATATAATATAGTTACAAGAAAATAAAATTCATTATAATGTCCACTCCATAATAAAATCATTGATTCACATACATGTTATGTTGTCTTAAGAACAAACTACACAGCACTTGACCTACATAACCAAACAGTTTTAGTTTTTCAGTGCAAGGTCAAATAAAAACATGAGTTGAAATCGATTTTAAATGCTTCACACAAAAAAAAAATCATACTCACGATTCTGGATAGCATTCATCGAAGTAAATCGCGTCCGTTTGATTGCATCGACGCAACACGTAATCTCTCGCGGTGGATACACGACTCGAAGTATCATGGAAATTGTTCTCTAAAACAGTAACCTCGTGTTCCGATTCGGCAATTGATAGTTTTGATAGTTCGATGACCGTATCATCACAATCTTCGGACAGAAATCCTGCAATTAACGCAACAGCGTCAGCGAACGCAACCATGACACACACGAGGAAGTGAATGACGAACTTTCCCCAAGCGTAAGTATATTACGTAGAAGGTACTTGTAAAAGACGCCATCGTTGGCGTTATTTAAATAGAACTCAATTTTAAACGACGACTGACCTGTGTGTTGCAGGGAAAGATGCATGCACTTGGCTTTAGACACTTTTTGTAGAACAAAGGGGCAGAACCAAGCTATTATCCCGTTAGGGATAACGAACGGCAGTTAAATGAATTAACAACACCACAGGGTTCCACACAAGTACAAAGTTCGCACACTTATTATTCGTTAATAATATCAATAAATAATCACTACACACTGTGTAAGGTTACGCGATTCCTAAAAAAATAAAATAAAATATGGACAAAGACTCGACAACGCGTCTTCTTCCGCGGAATCGACGAACGAAAGCACCATAGAGTAAAGTAAAAAGAACCACAGACAGTTTGGTTAATAATGTTGCCATGCCAGTTAACAAAATCAATAGTAGAAAACGTTATTATTGTAGTTTCAAGAAAATATTATGTACAACAAAAATATCAATTCTTGTTTTATTTATATACCTATGGAACTTCTCGGTATTATTTCATTGATGTTCACTTACCTTCTAAATCCTGTGCTATTGTACTAGTGCGTAAACTAAGTCTTGAACTGTTAGGCTCCTAAAATCAGATTGTTTATTTAAAATAATACTAATTTTCGGCGAATTTTACGAAAAAGTAAAAAAAAACTTATAGATACTTTTATAATCCGGATAGTAGATCTACTAGGCTTAGATACAAAAGTACTTCTGCGGCTAATAACTGATTCATTGTGTAGTGAACCTGAAAAAAAATGTTAAAATATTATTGCAATCAAATCAGACTAATTATAATTCTCAAAGAAAATTCAAACCTGACATTACACTGAAACTTTAGGTGGAAGTTAGTGACAAATGTGCTTGAAATGTGTCATCTTATTAGATTTTGACTATTCTTTTTACAATAAAGAAAAGGCTTCAAATGAGTATGGTTAAAAATATTTTTTAAAGAGGTTAATAACATTGTACAATTCAATTCAATTTAAACATTGAGTGAAATTTTTAGGAACATAATTTCATATTACATCAGTAATAAATTACCTTTAAAATCCTGCATTTCCATTGTGCTGATAACACTTTGTCTATATTTTCTACCTTTACTGTGCAAATCTTCATCTTCTAAAAGAGAGTGATTGAAATTGTCACTCATCAATGTCATTCTTCTGTAAATACTCAAAGATCTTTCCCATTTCTTCCCTGGCTGAAGAACTATAGCAGGTTTAAGTTCTTTCTCATGGTTATCAAATGAACTTGATTTGACACAACTTGCCGCAATATCTCTATTTATAATGTTAGGTTTATGTGCAACCGGTTCAGAATATTTACAATTTGGATTTTTAAATTTAACAGCATTTATTTTAGATACATCCCTATTTTGGGAATCAACCATATTCAAACCATTTTGTATGGAGTCAACACATTCATATTGTGAACTAACATCTTGTTTCAGTCTTATTTCGTTACAACTAGTTACAGTCTTATTATAATCACCAGTGAATGTAGTAGTCATTGAATTATTAAATCCTAATATAAGAGAATCATTAGTCACTTCATTACGTCTCCTAGTAGTAACAAAACTGATACATATTTCTTCTTCATTATTTCTATTGCAATCACCATTATTTGATAAAATAGTTTCTTCTAAAATATTGGAACAATTTGAGTTTTTATCACTTTCATCATTTGCTATTAATATATCATTTGAATCTTGAAAAATATTATTATTGTTATGTATGCTTTCTTCAGTAAATTCATTGTCCTGACATTCCACACTATCAGTACCATCACTTTCTATAGGCAATTCTACAACTTTTGAACTATTGTTAGATATATTATCCTCATCCAATAAACTTTGAGATAAATTAACATCAACATGAATGCTGTTTTCAATTTCTTCTTCATGACATTCTCCATTTGTAGAAAAACTGGAATTTTTATGTGACTCAATATTCTCAACAGTACTGTTATTGGTTTTATTAATATCAGTACTATCATTATAATCATTTAACCTCTTAAAATAATACTTCATTAACAATGACTTATCTAATCTTTCTAAATGTACTGTAGGAACTTTCAGATCATTAGCATTTGATTCTTGTTCACTAGTACAGGTATCATATGATAAGTCTTCACTATTTTGACTATCACTGTACAGATCGTTATCAGTTTTTTCAACAGTTTCATTACAATGGTATTTATTATCAATTTTACCTTGAAAAGATTCATGATTCTCTTTATGATTCAATACAATGGCACTGCTATTAACTTTATCAAATACTTTACGAGTTTCATTACTTTTGAAAGATTTAGATTCACATCCTAATTTAACTAAAGAATCGTGTGAAAATCCTAAAAATGGTTCAGCTTCTGTTGTTTGAAAGTCACTTGTTGCTTCAATATTTGTAATGTCGTTCATTTTAAATTTACTATCTATAGAATCAGTGACTATTGATATTATCCCATCTGTTTTTGGTGATATGGTTTCAAGATCCAATTTGTTGATAGATTTACTATTTTTGTCACTTTTACTAGATAACTGAATAATGGGTGAAGGTGGAAGACTACCTTCCTCAATGGCCAGGGACTCTTCTTTTTTATCAATTATATCTAGGCCATCATCATTAACATTTTCTTCAATGATTGTAACATAGTTTGGACTACTTTCATTTTTGCCCAAGCTAATTGGTGAGAATTGATATATTGACTGACTTCTATACTTTTCTTTGAAAGGAGTACTGCATAATGGCTTTGACAGATCTGGTGATGCAAAATTTGTAGTTAATCTATGGTCTTGATATTTATTACGACTACTATTTACTGAATTACTAGAACTACTTCCAGAAGATCTATATTGTTTTAAAATTGATAACTTTTTCACAATATTGTTTATAGATTCATCTAAATGTTTGGGGCTTGAACTTTTCTGCTTTTCTATTACTAATTCATGAGTCCTTATGTCAGTCACATCATGAGAAGACTCACATGAGTTTTCTTTATCAGAATCTGAAAACAAAGAGTAGATTATTGACACAAAATAAGTAATGGATTTCTTTTTGTGCGGGTTAAATTAAAAACATGTAACTAATGGAATGGGTTGGCTCAGACTAATACTCATGATTATGTTAATTATTGCACTAATCACAATCCATGTCTGTGCTATTTTTGTAATATTTGATGAGATAAGATAGGAATTTGAACAACTTAATTAAAATAAAAACCAATTTAATAATAAGAAGAGTTTTCTTAAGTTACTGTGTAAAGAAGAGATTTTTCATATTAATCACATATTTCCATTGATATTTAAAAGAACTTAAGATGTTATGAATAACTCTCAGTCTATTTATGGGACGTGAAAATTAATCATAGAACTTCTATAATTCATTAACACAATTCTCTAAGTATTTAAAAGGAACAGCAATTTTTAAGTTACCTTGAATACCCACTACTTACTGTAACTATCATCAGTACTGGAATAATTAAATCTCTTAACTTTCGATAGAACTTTCCTGTTATATTTCTTTCCTTCCCTAAAACATATTCAGAAGAATAAATAAAAATCAGGCTTAAATCAGGCCAAGAAGTGGTTGACGATCCGATGAAATGTTAATCGGAATTGCTACGACGGATTGTAGTTATGGACTTACATTTTGTATTTAAGTTTTATCACTGGAGATTCAGCCTGCCTTGATGAAGACGAATTCAGAAGCTGGTCAAATAAATCTTGCGCTTTGTTCACTCTAATTGATTTGTCAGGGGTCAAAAAAGCCGAATGAGAAGTAGAATCTTGTAAAAAGCCGACCGGCGGTTCGGCTTCTTTCACTATCCGTTTAACGTATTTTCTTTTTCGTACTTTCTTATTAGCTTCAACATTGTGATATTTAGATTGAATGCATGACAGTTCTCTTTTGGTTTGTTTAATCTTATTTATGTAAAATGCATCAAACACCGATGCTTTTTCATCAAGATTCTGTATAACATCACGGTGGTGTAGTGCGTTTCCACTATCTTTTTTAGAACGATATGTTCGACGCATTTCAATTAATTATTTATTTTCAATATGTTGACGTTAAATAGATTATAAATTAAATCCTACTGTAGCCTCATTTTGAAATAGTACCTACTATTTATTTTCAATCAGACATTCTTTCTCTATTGACACTTTTTACATGACACCTTGCTTGACAATCAAGCAAAATAAAAACTTTGAAAGCGCAACGAACAAAAAGCAGTGCTGCCCTTTTTAAAAATTCTGATCCAAACATAAAGCGCTCAATAAATTAGCAACATAGTTATATATTTTTTTCTATTTCAATTGAAAGAATAAGCATAATTATTATTCTTTTAAAAATTTCTTAAATATTTACATAAATAAAAAAGTTCGCTTGAAACTTGAACCGAACGTGACCACGATGACCTGGCTCAGTTGCATTATAATATATAAGTTAGTTTAGAAGCGTCGCCCGCACCTTAAAATCGCGTTTAGTTTATTACTCGATGAAGGGCACTCAACATATTCTGTTATTAAAATAAAAATCTATAAAAATAAAAATAAAAATCTTTTATAAAATATTTTTAAATAAGGAATCGATAAAATCTTACTACTTATAAACAATATTGTAGTAAATTTACGCTGAAACTGTTTTTCGTATTAATCAAAATTCATATTATTAAACATAGACTTAACCTAGTACGAGGTTCTACGGGAGTAATATTTGCTTATTCTCTGTGTAATATGAATATGGAGTAATACTAAAAGTGCAATTTTATCAATTTTACAACCAAAATATATTTATTATTTGTTACAACCAATTTATTCTTCGACACTCCGAGCACAACTATCGATGCAATGAGATAAAGTGTGCCATCTAATAGTTTATTATTTTACTTTAATACATAGGGACTTTAATACATAGGACACCATAGACCACATCCACAGTTATGTCTCCGAAATTGTTTACTTATGCAATGGAGGATATGTTTAAGACGGTGAACTGGAAAGGACGTGGCATCAACATCAATGGCGAGTACATCTCTCACTTGAGATTTGCTGACGACATCGTCATCATGGCAGAAAATCTGCAGGACCTACAACAGATGCTGAATGACCTGGCTAATTCTTCTATGCGCATCGGCCTACGAATGAACTTGAATAAAACCAAGGTCACGCTCAACGAACACGTACTACCGGAACCGATTGCAGTATGCGGTGCCGTTCTCGGAATTGTTCCAAAATATGTATACCTCGGGCAAACATTGCAGTTAGGTAGAAACATCTTCGAGAGCGATGTAAATGGAAGAGTTCGGCTAGGTTGGGCAGCGTTTGGGAAACTACG